GTTTTGTTCTGTTCATATTAGTTACCTGATTTACATAATTAGCTTTCAGCTTTTCCATCAATATCTCATGTACAAGTAATTTTGAATTAATTTTTAATGTGTCTTCAGTACTCTCAGCACACGGGAGTTCTTTCTGAGCTTTCTTTGATTTCATCTAGATTTTGTGAGCACCAGCTTAAAATAAAAACATATATACAAGTTGAGGAAATTTGGTGATAAGTTTTAACCAACTATCTTTTATAACATTGCCTTCTGAAAGCCTCCATTGAAGCTAAAATGAATGGGAAAAAACAGGTGATGTTTTAAAGCGCTACATCATTTTCGATATGGGACACGTAATGACGTATACAACAAGTGTAAAATACATTGTTTGTTAACGCAAAATTTGAATACGTGCTGCGCGACGACTGTAGTGCTTTAGGTGACACTGTGCAAGAAATTTTAAGTGTAATTTCTCTTCTATGAGTTCTGTACGTCTATAAACTCATAATAGCTGTTAAACATTGTCGTGTATTCAGTCTTATTTACTTTTTAGCTCTGCTGTCGACTTTGTCGAGCGGAGCTTATCATATGAGTGATTGTCCGTCGTCGTCGTCCGTGTCAATGTTTTACTTTTTCGACTTCTTCTTGAAAACTACAAGCCTGAATGCTTTGATACTTGGTGTATATGTACCTTGGGTAGACCTTTCTCAGATTTGTTCATTTCATGATGATATCTTCAATTCTCTAATTTTGGTGAATATTTTTGTCATTTTTGGTAAAAAGTGATATTTTCGACTTGTGAAAACCGCAAGTCCAATTGCTTTGATATTACATATATAGGTACTACATGTGGACCTCTCTCAGATTTGTTCATTTCATAATGATATCTTCAATTCTCTAATTTTGGTGAATATTTTTGTAATTTTTGGTAAAAAGTTATATTTTCAACTTCTTGTTAAAAACTGCAAGTCCAATTGCTTTGATATTACATATATAGGTACTACATGTGTACCTCTCAGATTTGTTCATTTTGTAATGATATCTTCAATTCTCTAATTTTGGTGAATATTTTTGTAATTTTTGGTAAAAAGTGATATTTTCAACTTCTTGTTAAAAACCGCAAGTCCAATTGCTTTGATATTACATATATAGGTACTACATGTGGACCTCTCTCAGATTTGTTCATTTTGTAATGATATCTTCAATTCTCTAATTTTGGTGAATATTTTTGTAATTTTTGGTAAAAAGTGATATTTTCGACTTCTTGTTGAAAACCGCAAGTCCAATTGCTTTGATATTACATATATAGGTACTACATGTGGACCTCTCTCAGATTTGTTCATTTTGTAATGATATCTTTAATTTTCTAATTTTGGTGAATATTTTTGTCATTTTTGGTAAAAAGTGATATTTTCGACTTCTTGTTGAAAACCGCAAGTCCAATTGCTTTGATATTACATATATAGGTACTACATGTGGACCTCTCTCAGATTTGTTCATTTTGTAATGATATCTTTAATTTTCTAATTTTGGTGAATATTTTTGTAATTTTTGGTAAAAAGTGATATTTTCGACTTCTTGTTGAAAACCGCAAGTCCAATTGC